CCTATATGGTCATCCTTCAGAACTTGCATCCTGGTACATTTCAGCACAACCGGTCCAAGAGCATACAAACAACAAACATTCTCTACGGAAACGTTTTATGGTAGTAATTTGTACTTATGTCATAAATTCTGAAAGTCTGTTCTGTTCAAACAAAAAGAAAATAAATGAAAAAATAATTAAACAATATCAGGAACAATTAACTTGTTAGTAAAATGTTTCCTTGCAGAAAACCTTCAACTAATCATACAAAACATACAACTTTCTTCAGTTGGCTTCCCACAACCAGCTGTAATAGTGTTTAATACCTTCTGATTTAACTGATCATTTCTCTGCTAAACTTTAAAGAAGAAAAGCTTGAGGGGAACTGAAGCACAGCGGTACTTTAGATTAGGAAAAAGAAATCCTTTTAAGATGAGGCAGCTCCGTGTCAAGTCCCACTTGGCTCGAAGAGATTTCTAAGAAACAAACTGCCTTTAAAGTGATGCTGAGAAATACGCAGAGATGCAGGAATGTATACATTTATAACTGCTGATGTTGTGTTTCAGCTCAAATCCCACAGAAGCATCCATTCAAAGTTCACCTCCACCACATTATTCCTTTGTGTCGCTCACAGATTTGTGCTGACTGAGCAGAGTCAATAAAAGAACTTGCACCAAAAAAAGTAAAAACAAAAATGGGAATATGATGAGCTTTCAGTACAAGACAAAATAAAAAATTCTCTGGCAGTATAGTACAACATGTGGAAATGAACCACTTTATTAATCCCTTTTTAAATAGCTTGATTCAGATACTCAGGAGTTGATGTTCATTTTGCACACTGACCAGAAGGTACTGATTCTTGCCTACATATATTTTTTCAGTAGCTGTGCATTTTCAGGGTTTCGTGGATTCAATTGACACACAGACAGTCACCTTCTCCAACTAATAGTAGAGATATTTTTGTCATTATTTAACACCATAATATATAAACATTTTTAGATATGCTTTAAAGGTGCAGTATTTGTTGTTTGAAAATGCCGCTCAAGCAAGCTGCATTTAGAAGAAGAAAAAAACTTCAAAGGTCCAACTTCTTTCTTCAGGCTCACGCCTAGAATCACAAAATCAGATTGGCCTCGGAAAATGGTATAACAAACAGCCACAAAGGCTCTGCTGTAAAACATGTAAAACAACTCCTTAAATGAGATTTGCAAACAGAACAGGACATCCCCTCCGGGACATAGGCAGCTTAACTAACTTCCTGTTTGGCTACTCTGCCGAGAATGACCATTTTCTGCACAAAAAGTTCCGTATGCTAAGTGACAGATTTCAGGGGAGCAGTTTGATATATGGGATAATTGCCAGTCATTGGATGATTTTATTTCCACGATTTAACTTTTCAATATGCCTTTTTTATTATTATTGATAGTGATTGGTATGTGAGGAGAATTTCAAGCAATATGGCAAAAAATGTTCCTGAAAAAAAAATCTAATGGCATCTTTAAATAAAAACGTGAGGTTCTACCTCTTATCTTTGCAGTGCTCTAGTGTGAGGTTGATTTATCAACAAGGAATAGGTGCTAAAGAATGCCAGGCTTTGTTAACATGTGTATGAGTTTATGTTGAATAGGTTGTGGGGGGTGGATGTCCAACAGAGTTAATCTGACAGGTGTGTTACCAACACACCACATGAGGTGAGTCTCACACAAGTTTAAAACAGCAGTCCTATAGAACGCTTGTGAACCAGCTGCTGTTTTTTTTAATACAGCGTTATGCAGCATGACTACCTGCATTCACAACAAGCACATCCATAATGCGTCAAGCTATTCAGTTTTTTTTTTCTTGTTATCAGCTGAAATGTGAGCATTATGTAGAGGGAATTTAAAGGGAATACTTTAATAAATAAAACCCTCAGCATTCCTGGGAGAAATTGTCTACCACCTGCTACGCCAGAGTTTTGAACTAGCATCACCCTGTGCGGAGAAAAGATGATGTAATATCTGGTAGTAGTCAGAATGTGTGTGTTGTGAGTCAATTTCAGCTTCTGCTACATCAAAAATGTGCTCAATAGTTATTTCACTTTGCAATAACTTTCAGTGTAATTATTAATCTCTTCACTTGTTTTTAGAGGGTTTTTTTCACTAATTAAGTACTTTGGCTGAATAGGAATACCAGGACTCTTTTTCCCTACTGGATGTCTCATTATTTGTCCAGTTGCTAAAAGTGGACAAAAGTTGACACCTCAGGCATAAAATTAAACATTTATTTTCTGATGACGCCCTGCTGCTTTGGTGCAGAACTCCATCTTTCACAAACAAAGTCAAGACCATTCCTGGGTCGGTGTTTGAGTCTGCGTTTTGCTATCACGCATTGTTTTACCGTATTGTCACATATGCTCCACAAATACGTTGACATTTGTGGCTTGGATACATTCAAACTACTACATTGACTACTTAATCTGCATTTCCTCATCAAGCACTTTCGGTGTCAAACTGTAATAAGTGAAGAACCTTAGAGATTTTTATTAGGGTCTGAGAAAAAATGGGTTAATCTGCTTTTGAATTTCTTCAATTTACAACATTTTCAGGTGACAAAAACCTTTACTTACTGCCTTTCTTCATAGGTTTGATGAGAGAGATTTTTCGTATAAAATGCCACCGAGGAAGTTTTTTTTTTCATGGATCATTATTGTAAAGTCCTTAACTCATTCGCTGCCAGCCGTTTCCTGATCGGTAAAGCCCTTCGCTGCCAGCGTTTCTCACTGTTTTCATTGTTTTTTTAAGAGTCACAGAACGTTGCGCGCTAGGATGATGTCGACGCGAAAACAACCAAAACAAAGCGAAGACTCACCTCTTACATCAGGAAGAATCCGTGTGTTTCGAGCTTTATCCGTTTTTTCGTAATTCGTTATTGAATTGTGATCGGCAGAAGCTTTGCCGGTTCACGCCTCACTTCTTCTTACAGCAGCGGCCCAAAATGATCTCCCAACACATGGATTTTCTGCTTCCTGATCACGTCACGTGTGACGTATGCGGGTGAAGATCGGCTTTAGAGCTGAGATGTTTGTTCTCACAGTGCGGGGGCTCGTCCGACGCCCACACAGTAAAAAAAATGCAAATGACGACTTTAGTCGTCATTGGCAGTGAGCTGTTGGATTTAAAATGACGACTTTAGTCGTCAATGGCAGTGAATGAGTTAAAGTGATACAAGTACATATTTTTCCATGTATTGCTGTTTCATGGCTTGTTTTTCTTGACACCAGGTGTTGGAAGATACAAAATCCTGCCTATTTGTCGGTTCTTAATCATAAGGAAAATTTCTCTTAAATGTGGGTTTCTGGACGACAGCGATTGCCTAGCCTGGCAATCCATCCTGTGTAGTTAAATATACAGTCTGACCACATCCCTTTTAACAGAGATCAGTCATGGCGTGGAATGTCTATGGATGTCTTTCAAACTGTCTCAGTGGAACAGCACTAAGACCAATCAGGGCAACAAGCAATGTGACGCTCATCTTATTGGAAATCAGTCAACAGGGCAAGCCACAATACATCGTCAAACAAGAAGAAGTAAATTCATACTTTTTCTAAATAAACGTCTAAAGTACATCTATCTGCTCATGTCTCAAAAGTCTAAGTCGTCCAAAGTTGATGCCAAAGCAGTTTCAAATTAGGGCCATTCCTGAGCAGATGCCATCTTTGTACTTTTTCTCTATCGTACTCTTTCTCTATCGCTGGTCTAGCATTAAGCCCCTCAATGTCTCTCTTGATCGAAACTTAGCCAGGCCAATGGTAGGCCTGCTGAGGCAGCAATGGAACACAGCTAGACCAACTTGTCTAGCAAAATTTTTGTTACTGCACTTGTTTGTTGGTTATTTATAGAAATTTACATATGTATGGAGAAAAGGGCTGAAATTTGGAAAGTAAAAGAAAAAGAAAGTCACAATAAATGCACTTCTGTTTATTACAGGGACATTTATGGCATTAGAAGGGTTTCTGGATGTCAGGTTTGGCACAAATAATTGTGCTGGGGTGCAATCTGCATATTTGTTAGAGTGGATTTGACATTTTAGTCAGTGTGGCCAAGTCGTGACAGTTTGATTCATGTGGCAGGGCTTTGTGGAGGGGCTTCCATACAACGTTAATTAATCCAGAGGTTGGTTTATAATTAGAAATGGGATCTCCTTTAACTAGGGCATCTTCAGATTCTGTACAGTGGCATATTTTGAGCATTCATTCAAGAGTGTATGCTTTTGAGATTGATTTAAAAGTCCAGTGCATACCAGTTGTGCACATCTGTGTAAATAAGCTTCTCAGTACATGGAAGGAAAAGGCATGATTCCCTTCCAACAGCCTCATTCTTTTTGATTAATGCATTAATGGCCCAAACAGAGAGTCCCATTACTCTGGGTTCAGAGTGTGTATCATATTTGTGTGTTTCAGTTGGTTTGAGCAGGAAATGTAATGTTTGTGTGTTCCCCTCCTTTCATCTCCCATGTGCTGTCGCATCACTCTGCCCTCAGAGCACCCTGTCTCAGAAACCAAGCCATTTCAGATTCTGCTTCAAAGGGCTTCTCTCTCCTCTTCCTCGAACTCTTCATTTCTGTTTTTGATCTTAAAACTTTTCGTGTAAACGTCCATTACAGTTACATGGTTGCTATCTTTTCTGATTATCCCTATTGTTCTAACTTTTTTGTAATTTTTCATTTTCCTTAAAAAAAAACTAAGATTTCTCTACTGTATGCTAAATTTTGTAATCTCTTTTTGTCTCTTTTATTTTCTGTTTTTAGCTTTCCTTTTCATGCATCCCATCTTCTCCCTCAGGCCATTGAACACCTTGATCTTACAAAACAGCCGCAATCCCCTTTCTTGCATTTTTTACTAATTTACTGCTGAAATGTTTGAACTCTTGTCTCCAGTTTTATTTTCCTACTCCATTCTTCTTAGATCCTCTTGACATATTTTCACTTTTTTAAATTTCTCTTAGCTTCTTAACTGTTTGACCCTTTTACCCCATCTCTTTCAGATGAGATTGATATGTTGGAACGCCTCTGGTTGTCTGGAATCTGCCACAATGATAAGATTGAGGTATGATGATTTAAACTTCATGTGTGTTGGTTTTCTGTTTTCATCTCACTATGATCTAGCCTAGTGAACTAGACCAAATTCTTGCTTTGCAAAGTTTGGTCTAGGCATGCTCCATTGGAACCTACGCAGCTCCTACCAGGACTCTGGCTAGCCAATCACAACTCTCTAGAGGGGTTTCAAACACATAAAGAGCTGTGATTGGTCCATAATGGTGGGCCAATCATAGTGCTCTATCTGCTTAGTGAACAAATCACAGAGCTTTATCTGCTTTGTGGGCCAATCAGGGCACTCTATATGCCTGGTGGGTGGGATGATGCAGCAGAGTGAAACAAGAGTATGTCACATTCATTGTCCAGTGGAATGCGGAGATCATTTGAAAGACAACGGTAGAACCCGCCCCACAACCGAGAGCTGTCAATGGAGCATGGCCAGACTAATTAATACATTTATTTAGTCTGGCTTGCCAGGCTAACTATGATCAGCATTTTAAAACAGATTGTTCTCTTGTTCTCCGACCTACTTGGTTTCATTAACATTGGTGTTAATTATTACTTATAAAACATCTATTGTACCCTTGTCTATCATACAGAAAAGAGCCCTGAGAGTCGTTCACAATGTTAGATTTAGAGACCACACTAATCCGTTATTTATATATTCTAAAATACTAAAATTTAAAGATTTAATTCAGCTATATACAGCGACATTCATGTTTAAAGTGCATAGGAAATTAGTACCACACACATTATTAATGCTATTTATAAAACCAGATAACCTATATAATTTCAGATACAAACTTAACTTTAGGCATACATATTTTAGAACAACTATAAAGTCATTTTGTATTTCTGTTACGGGTGTAAGAGTTTGGAATAAGCTAAGTGAGGATCTAAAGCAAAGTCCCTCATTGCATAAGTTTAAAGAGAAGTATAAAAAAATTATACTAATCAATTACATGGAGGAGGAGGAAAAGTTGTAAGGGTGTTGCATTTGATTGTAATTGTCTATTGTTGGTGAACTGGGAGCTGTGAACATGGCGGGGGGGGGGGGTTGGAACATGAGAAAATGTAAATTTGGTTTGTGTGATTGAGGATAAAACATGTTATAGGAAAATGGCAATGACACTCAGTGTAGGGAAAATATATATATTTTTTTGTTTTGTCTTTCTTGAAATTTGATTTGGGGGGGATTATATAAGCTACCAGAGCTTCGTTCCCTTCCCATTGAACATGTTCTACATGTCTATGTGTATGTATATATATATGTATATATGTATATATATATATATATATATATATATATATATATATATATGTACGTATGTATATGTGTATGTGTATATATGCATATACATATGTGTGGGTTTCTTTTTGGAGACTTTTTGAATGCTTTGGGTTGTCTATTGATTTGCATGCATGTTCAATAAATAAATAAATAAATAAATAAATAAATAATGATTTGCCCATCCAAAAACCGTCTCAAGAAATTTCTGATAGTGTTTTTTATATGAACTGTTGCCTAAAGGCACGTGTCTCTGGAAACTTTAATCTCCTGATTACATACTGTACATCAAGTCTCAATTTCGTCAATTTAGTCTCTATTGTTGCCAATTAATTTCATAAATATTTGAGTATTTGTCATTAAAGCAAGTTCTCTGGTCAGCAGTATATTAGTTTTCTTTCTTGTTCTCTGTCTAAAATGCAGTGTTGTTTTTGGCAGCCATCTTAGTTTTAGTCTTTTAGACAGAACAGCTTTTTTGTTTTAGTCAGTTTTAATCAACACAATTGTTTGCTTTTAGTTTTACAAAAATATTAAGTGAAATATTAGCCTTTAACAAATTAATTTATAGGTCACACATTTACACTGTTCTACTGGAGTGAGTTTCATACACACATCAATAATTTCAGGGCTAAAGGAGGTTCAATGCGGTGAGGGAGGAGGGTCAAAGCCACTTTCTGGAATATCTCTGTCCAGGGTGCTGAAGTGAAGCGAGCTGGAGTAAAGCCTGATTTATACTTCTCCGCCTGCGTCGGTGCGGAGACGTGCAACATCATTATGCGTTGGCACAAAGGCTCTCCGACGGGCTCATGGGGGGGCATCTGTCGAAAGTGACAGAGACTGCAAGCTTGTGATTGGTCAGGATGCCATTTCCTGTAAATTCTTCACCAGAACTGACATTGTTCATTTAAAAAAAGTAAAAAGATATTTTGTGGTAGACCCAGAACAGATTGAAGAATGCATGCAGAAAACGTTTGAAAATAACATTTATTCACCCGTGAGCGAAGGAGTAGAAAATACAGAGCAAACGTGGACGGCAATTATGTGAAACGTTTAGAGGTGGTGACCGCATGAAGAGGTGGAGGAGAAAGAAGGACACATTTGTCTGTGTTAAAAAGTCTGAAATATATAAACACATGAGTAAATACACTATTGGTTGCTGAATACATGAGTGGTAAAGTAGCGGGATACCACACTGTTTTCCTGGTGGGGAATTGCTTTGCAACTCTCCACCGCTTGAACAGAAGTTCGAATGTGAAAACCTTTCCGACACTGTGTGCACCTCTCCACTGCTGAGCTCACAGAGAAGTATAAACCAGGTTTAAGAGTGATCTCTGATGCTGCCGGTGGAGCAGCGCCGGTCTCCAGCCCTCTCCTGAGTCAGACAGTCAGCAGCCGTCACTACTACATTACAACAAAGCACCACTGTAGGACACAAGGAAAGACACCTACTTCATGTACTCAGTCATTTTAGTTTGCAACATACAATGTTGTTCCCTCAAAAACTGTACCAGTAAAAGCCTAGTAGGAGCACATTTATGCTTACGGAAGAAGGTATCTTTTTGAATTTGAATGATTGAAATGCTACTTATTACAATTCACTTACATTGTTAATGCTGAACTATAGCTAACAGAATACTGCCAGATTAGGATAATTTTACAAAAGACAGGATAAAAGGAGAAATGCCAGGATATTCTGGATTTAAAAAATATGCTGCCATCTACCAGAAAGCTGAAAATTAAAAGAGAGTAGACACTTAAGCAATACAATGATCCCAAACATGTAAATGTAATTTTTTTTTTCATTTTTGTTTACTTTTTGTATTCAAAGAGCATTGCAGAATACATTCAAATCTGTATTAAAACTTAGAAAATAGTTTAAGTTTTTTGTTTAATACATCTTTTTGGATAATCAAAAAAGGGTTTAAAATACATAAGCAAAAAAAGATTCACAGCAATATAGATCTTTAAAATAAAAAAAGGAAGATAACTGATGAAAAAAATCTGTAGCTGTTTTGGTGTATTTTACACATTAGAAAGAAGATAAATAAAAATAACTTTGATAACGTCTGCTTTATAATTTAGTTGATTTTGATAAGTTCTTCATTGCCTTCCCAAAAACCATCCACTTTCCTCACAGCAGCATCCTTGTTTTGCTTGTTTTCCAGGTGATGAGTAGCAAGCTGGATATTGACAACATGGCGGGTGTGTTCTACATGCTGCTGGTAGCCATGGGGCTCAGTCTTCTGGTGTTTGCATGGGAGCATCTGGTGTACTGGAAGCTAAGGCACTGTGTGAAGAGGTCTGGTGGGATGGACTTCCTCCTGGCTCTCAGCAGGGTAGGAAAGAAAACACATTCAAGCAGCATTAAAGAAAAAGGCCACTGAGTAGTGTAATCATTAAAATGTGATCTCTCTGCAATACACTATAACAGCAGTGTCATCTATTGGATGATTCCTACCATCAGATTATGTTTTTGGTTTTATTTATTCATTATTTTTGTTGTTGTTGTTTTTTTTGGGGGGGAGGGGCAAATTAACTGAGACTCAGTCTTGAAAGGCTGAAAGTTGCAGTTTAAATAAAACAAACAGCATTACTGGTTTGAGCTGCTATGAAAGAAAGCACCATCGTATATTATCTACGGTGTGTTTTCTACAAATTCCTGGTTAGTGTTTAAACATTCCAACTGGTGTAGCAGACCGTTTCAACAAACATAATGAATAAGGACCCTTAAAACTACAATCAAAAGCCTTGAAAGTTTTCACAATATATTTTCATTGACACTGGAGCAACTGATTTCCACACCCTTGACCTAAAAATGAGAGGAACTAATCAGTGAAACTAGCTTCAAATTCATTATAGAGCACTTGAAGATCACAGACAAATGATTTATGCAGAAGAAAATGTTTTGATTGAACTAAATGTGCAGACTTTTTTTTCTCCTCGTTGCTCTTTTATGTCTTCAAAATGGTTGGAATCAGAAAACCACGCTGATTAAAGCATCGAGATCTCTCTTTTTTTCCACTAGAAAGAGCTCCGGCTTAGAGATAGAGACAGATAAATAAAAAGGTTTTCAGACACAATCAAGACATGGATTACACAGCAGCACATTAGGTGCCACTCTTGATAGGTACTTGTATCTGGCACTCAACAGGGACGGGATAAAGCCAAAATAAGGAACATCATCTATCCTCTGTATCATTCCAAGGGGGGCCCAAATAATTCAGTACAGAGTGATCACCTTGCTGTTGCAGAACTATTTCGTTTTTAGTGCCAACAGGGTTTCTGTACGCTTAGCTAGGGGTGAAGGAACTGCTTAGTACAGAAATAAATGTGAAAGAATGTACAGAAGAAAAGAGAAATGGTGTCTCGGAGGAAGAAACAGGGTATGAAGAGACTAGAAAGACATATTTCAAAAAGAGATGTGATTCTGAAAGGGAAATGAGGAGAACTTTGAGATGAGCAAAGACCAGAATGGGCTACTGAGACATCAGGAGGTTTTATGACTCAGAGAAAATCGTGTAGAAAATGTTTTAGGGAAAGCCAGAAAGAAACAGGGGGTAACCTAAGCACAGTAAAAGAAAGGAGAGAGGGCAGACAGCTATGATTGTTCATTATCAAGCTGACTCCAAACTCTTTTATTCTAGCAAACAGTAATAATTGCTTTGAAAATAAAACTTATTGTAAAGAAAATGGTTCACTTGTGCTTACCAGAAGAGGGGAACACACAATGGAAGCCAGAAAACAAACAAACCAAAAAGCAAGAATTGTGTATCTAGAAGAGGGAGAGAGCACCCCAGTTCCCATCATGCACTGCAGGGTGACACAATGAAGCTCAGTCAGCTTAGCGCACCCACCTACGGTAGCTTGTGTGCTAAGTGATGATTGTAGCATTCAGTTTTGGGTTACATCTAGCTATTGCTTTACCTTGTTGTAGTGTTAGCAGGGACATGCTAGCAAACCAAGTGGAAAAGGAAATAATAGTTTATGTCACTCAGGAACGAGCTTGATTCAATGGCAGTTTGTGACCGTTGACCCGTGACTTATGTGACCTCCGTGATCCGTGATTAATTGATCTTTAATGGACATCATCTGGACATCAATCATGGGTTTAACAACTCCTAACCTCTGAACCTTTTTGATCCTTCCTTCCTGTTGCAGGATATCATTTAATAAAGGACGTCATCTGGATATGACGCAGGCTGTGAAAACAATCACCACACAAAAGTCAGAAGCCCAAGAAGGTTTGGGGTCATGGTTCTATCTTGAAGGCCCAGAAAAAGACCACCTGGTAAATGTAGGAAGGGTAGTACTTCATGGGTACTGGAGGAAGGCGTAAAAGAAAGAAGTCCACTCTCAATTCTGATATATTTTAACGGATTAAATTATGGCTCTACTTCATGGTATGGTACTTCATGCTGGGGGTGCTGAATCTGTTCACAGCCCTATGACACAGTTGTCTCTTGAGTAAAAAGTTTTCACCGAAGTTTGACCAATATCATCTGTTACAGAGAATGCACCACATCAGTTCTTTATTCCCGGATAAGGTGAAGAATATTTATCAACACTCTACTGCATTTACGTGTAAATCCACCAATGCTGATGGATCTGAACTGACTAATTAAGCTAATGTTGGTCTTATTAGCCAATACATAATTGTTTTTACTAGTGTAACATCACTCTCAGGGACTGGCTCATATCTCAGTCATGTACCTACACATCTTTGTAGGACCATTATAGAGATGATGCTAAATTATTCGGAAGAAACTCTAAAGAGCCAGTTTAGCACTGGGATATTTTTCACAGACACTGCAGGTGCAATCAACTCTTTCATTACAACCAATGATCCCAACAGAGGATTTAGCCTACGAGCTAGCATAACAGCAAACTGAACGAGGTGCATCTGATGGGTTCTCTGCACGCGGACGTATTTTGCTGCAAAAGACTACTTTTACACTCTGTGCATCTGAGGGTTTGATTGATCAGGGCCAGCGATTCATTGTGTTTGATGGAACCCCATGATTCCACCTTCAAGCTGAAGCTGTTGGATGCATCGCTTTTTGTTTAAAAAGATTCAGTCTCCGCTGCTGTCCACCTGGGCCATGACTCCGCCTTGCTGAAGGTGAATGCTTTCTACCCACTCTCAAGAGTAAACATTAAAAATATTCCATTCTTGAAAATTTATGAATATGCAACTTGGAAAATTGTTTTCTTCATTCCCAAATAAGTAGTTCTGGGTCTCGTCCACCATAACGCGTATACAGGGAGGAGACTTTTCACAGTTTTAAGTGTTGCCACATGCATGTGGAATATTTGGCCCTCTGCGGTGATGATAAACAAATCCCCATCCGAAGCATTCCAGCCAGGCTTTGACCATTCCACCTTGTTGAAGGAGCTTTACAATCTCTTCATGTCCAAAGCCAAACATTTGAAAGATCAACCTTTGGCTATCTATTGTATTGAATATGAACTCGGCTACATCTTTCTTGTTTTTAATTTGAAAACAAACGAGAACGATGACTCACTCTCTCCTATAACCAACAGTAATCCAAGGCTGGAAATGCGATACACACCACTCTTACCACAGACCACTATGTTGATCGTCTACACCTGTTATGATTCTATTTTGGAGATAAACTCAAAGAGAGAGGTGTTGGTTGATTATTATTGAGAAATCATGAATAATCATGAGCTACAGAAGATCTTTTGGGGGGTTTGCCTCAGAAGGGGTGACAGCATTGCCAAGAAATCTCTCGAAAGCCAACTACCACATAGTAAACGCACCCGTCTGATATACTGGGGAACACTGGTTAGTCATTGGTCTCTAGATAACAAAAGAACAGGGTTTTGACCCCGTTTTTTACCCCTATGGGTTCTCCTCGGAGTTCACCTGTTACCCTGAATCCATCAAAGATTTTCTGAAGCAACACTTGTCTGAAAAATATATTGATCAGACATAAACTGCAAAGCGTAAAATCTTCTACACTATATGTACATCATGTCACTGCATGTTTTTCCTGTGTCATAAGGCCTGCAGGCACTCTCTGAGGCAAATTTTGCATCACAAGTATCACAAAAATGTGACAAAGAATGATTTCACGGTTCATAATTTTGTAAAAAATTAAAATTTTAATATGTCTAAAGAATGAAAATAAGGAGTTATATTTTACACACAGTACCTAATCTTTGAAATATATTAAAGAATGTTACTTTATTTGAAAACTATACGAAATTTGTTTGGAATAATTATTTTATTGTGCAGAAAAGTAGACAATGCAATTCATTTGAGCACATTTTAAGGGGAAAAGCAGATCCATTAGGGCTGCTCGATTATGGCAAAAATAATAATCACGATTATGGTGACTGAAATTGAGATCAGGATTATTTAGGACGATTTTTCAATTTATGTTGATTTTATTTGTTTTTAGTCAGTCATAAAATTGTTCAGGGCACAATCAGGACAAAAATAAATAAGAAACAAGATGATCACTAAAATAACTCCTGATTCCCAGTATAAAAAGACCAATATACTTATAGCTCATAGTCTATGACCCAAGGGCTATAGACCTTGGTTTAACTGATTTAAGTCTAACCAGTACAGACCCAAATACCAATATCTTGCAAATACTGACAGCAAGATTTATACAGTGGCATTTATAACAAATAAATGCAAATAAATTGATGTTCACAAAATGTTGCGTAACATTTATTGAGTCGTGTCAAGGTGCTGTAGGAGAGTGCACTAGCACTGTGTCTCAGAGAGATTAGTTATTATTTATCAGCGTGAGAATCTTATTTCTACCTTATTTATAAACTATTTATTTACAAGTCCATCAGTTAATGTAATAATTGTTCCAACCACAGCTGCACCCCCCGGTCTCACAGCAATCGGGCAAGCTGCACGTGTGTTTAGCACGCCGCACGCGCACATTTAGCTGTTTTTAGTGGCTCAGGAGTCCGCAGGTGCGGTGTGTGTCACTCACTCTGGTTACTCCAACAGAGCCGACTCTGAGAGCCGTTTCTTTATGTTTATGTTTATGTTTATGTGCTTAGCAGATGCTTTTACCCATAGCGACTTACAATTTTTTTTTTACCTATAGGGTACCCGGAGAAAACCCACGCATGCATGGGGAGAACACGCAACTCCACGCAGAAAGGCCGCAACCGAGTTTCGAACCTGCGACCTTCGTGTTGCGAGGCAACAGTGCTAACCACTGCGCCACCATGCAGCCCATAGCGACTGACACATCACTACATCATTCCCTTTCCTATTGTCCTTAAGAACGGTCCGGAGCGCAGGCGGAGTGTTTAGCTAACCTGCAGGAAATGTCGACGACAGTTATCCAGAAAGTAGCTAAGGGTTACCAGAGATGTTTCTGAGGTGTTCGCTAGGTACTTTTAAGATTTAAAAAGTCAAGAAGGGGGTCTGAAAAGCTGCTAGAAATAGCGTCAAAGTCGCTAAGTTGGCAACACTGTGGGAGGAGCGCTTCATTTGCAACTCAGGGCAGCGCAAGTGGGAGGAGCAAATAATCGGCTTGTTTTGTTTTTATAATCGTTCAAAACTCAGATCGTAATCGTGATTAAAATTCGATTAATTGAGCAGCCCTAAGATCCATTACGAGGCGGTTTCACAGAGAATATACCTGTTGTCAAAATTTGTAAGCCTTTGGTTGGACACGTGAGGGGACAGGGTGACCTCCCTTTCCTTTTCTTCATCTTCTCTAAAATGCCTTTCTGATCATGGGCAGATTTTTGGTTTGATCAGCGAGGAGACAAACGGACCTCCCTTTTCTTACATATTACAGAGTGTACACACCTCCGGTCCTGGGTTGTGTAATATGTTCATGCACAAAAGGGTTTGTGAACATAGATAAGGGTGTATTCCACTCCACCAGAGTATTCAAAATATTGCTCGAGCCTAAAGGTTCTGATTGAGGTTTTTAAAAGGCGTTGTGAGATTTTTTGACAAGGTCAAGGATGTGAGAGCCTTTTTTTTACAATTTCGTTATGAAAATTCCTCTGAAGCTGTCCAGCAGAGTTTTTCTGAACACCGTCTTTTCAGCAGATACTCCACATTCTTGCTTCTACATGACGGTAAACTTTGAATGATGTCTCGTATTACATCAGCCTGTTCCACGGGTACAGCCGGCTCATCCTGGCTCACTGGAATACCAATTTGAGAATCTTCACCCCTGCCCTCACAAGAGTGAGATATCGCTGATGGAGGGAGTTATATCTCTTGATTTTTTTTTTTTTCATAAATGGTTAGACCAGTCTGCATAACTAATTACATATCTGAGTGAAGCTTTTTCACATCTGTGATGCTGGGTTTAGAGGTTGTTGCAGTGTTGCAATTGATGGGGGAGAGCAGAAACAAGAGTGTTGGATGTTTCCTTTCAGCACATTTAAAGCAATTTCACACAGAGCCTGTAGGAGGTCTGGAGAGCATCGGGTTAAAAACTCCTTACATTTCTGAGGTTTCAGCTGCTTCAAAGCCCGGAGGAGTGGCGTTTTACGTTTTATTCTGGCAGACATTGCCTTTTATCATTATCGTGGAATGTAGGCGGCCGCCCACTGACCGGGGAGTAAACCGGAAGTCATCCAATCATAACCTAGAAAACAGGGTACACCCGTTAACTTTGTTTTTACCTGTAAAATGTCTGTTTTATAGACACATTTTCCTGCATTTGAAGTCTAAAACTGGTATCTGAAACTTACTTTAACCAGTCTGTGACATACCCACATTTCTATTTCACAGTGTGGTGCATCCCATGCCCTTGACACTGGGATTGCACTTCTGATACTGGCACTGATGATTTATGTGTACAGAAAGGCCCAATATTATAGTCTCTTCATCAGATCTATGTCAAATAAGGGGACATATATTTACTAGAGTCCCCCTGCAGTTTATTATTGTGTGATGGAAATCATATAAATCACCTTTGCCGACTGCAAGAAGAATGAAAGTGATTATGAGTTTTATCATGACCAATCATGGCATTGCTTCATTTTTCTGCTACTGTAGGTGTAAGAGGTTAAACTCAGTGTTAAAGCAGAGATAGTTATTTTGCAACTTTCAATTGATTTCTTTTACCTTGGGTTTTTAATGGAATGAGTTCAAATGAATGTGCCTTTTTAATCTTTACTTCAGATCAGGTTTATTGCCATCGTCAGTGAACAAACAATTCACAAACTAGGAACTTGCTTCGGTACTAACGTGCTACATATAACATGAATAATATAATTAAAAATAGAATAAAGTAGAATAAAATATAATAAACTAGCATAAAACTTTGCTATAAAAAAGGCAGGTAATGGTAACATGGCCGATAACGTGACGCTATGTCAAGTACAGAAGACGAGCATGGTTGTGTGTTTATAAGCTGTTCACAAGTCTAACGGCAGATGGAAAGAAGCTGTTCTTATGGCGGGAGGTTCTGGTCCGGATGGACCGTAACCTCCCGCCTGAGGGAAGCGGCTCAAAAAGTCTGTGTCCCGGGTGAGAAGGGTCAGCTGCTATCCGACCTGCACGCCCCCGAGTTCTGGAGACGTACAGGTCCTGGAGAGATGGAAGGCTGCAGCCAATCACCGTTAGCCTAGTGAACTAGACCAAATTCTTGCTTTGCAAAGAATGGTCTAGGCATGCTCCATTGGAACCTCAGCAGCTCCTACCAGGACTCTGGCTAGCCAATCACAGCTCTCTAGAGGGGTTTCAAACACAAAAAGAGCTGTGATTGGTCCATAATGGTGGGCCAATCATAGTGCTCTATCTGCTTAGTGAACAAATCACAGAGCTTTATCCGCTTTGTGGGCCAATCAGGGCACTCTGTATGCCTGGTGGGTGGGATGATGCAACAGAGTGAAACAAGAGTATGTCACATTCATTGTCCAGTGGAATGCGGAGATCATTTGAAAGGCAACGGTAGAACCCGCCCCACAACCGAGAGCCGTCAATGGAACATGGCCAGACTAAATAATACATTTATTTAGTCTGGCTTGCCAGGCTAAATCACCTTCTCAGCAGAGCGCACAATGCGCTGCAGTCTATGTTTGTCCCTCACTGTGGCTCCAGCGTACCACACAGAGATGGAGGAGGTGAGGATGGACTCAATGATGGCCGTGTAAAACTGCACCATCATCTGGGTCGGCAGCTTGGCCTTTTTCAACTGCCGCAGAAAGTACATCCTCTGCTGGGCCTTTTTGAGCAGGGAGCTGATGGACGGCTCCCACCTAAGGTCATGTGTGATGGTGGTTCCGAGGAAGCGGAAGGAGTCCACAGTGGTGACGGGGGTGTCCGTCAGGACGAGGGGGAGAGATGGGGCTGTTACTTTCCTGAAGTCCACAATCATCTCCACTGCCCTTTACTTTTATGTGTTAGTGAAATAATGTGAGAAAGGGTGAAAATGCAGACCCATATGAATTGTTCAGATAAAGAAAACAAAAAAAATTAACCATAAAAGGACAAAAATGGTGCAGAAAAGGAGTGTATCCAAGATTTCTTAACCAGCAAATGTCAAACTATGGAAAACCGTGAAATGTAAGCTGTATGTGGCTGCATGCACAATTAACCTGGCACAAAACAATCAAGGGGAAGAGGATGAATATATAAAACAAGAAGTGATGCATTTTTTTCCAGAGTTAGATGAGAAAAAGAAAAAACATGTATACATCTGTCATGTTGTGGTGTAGAAATCTAACCCATGACATACAGAATCAGCATAGAGACGGGGGTAAAGTGTTAAATAAGAATTTATTAAAAGGGAAACCAAGGAAGCAGCATAAACATAGCTGAGTTCTTTCACAAGGGAGCCGGTGCGGGAAATCTGTGGACAGATGGGAGTTAGATCCAACTCGAGGAGGGAACAAGGAATCTGAATTGTGAGGAGGACTTACAGTATGGAGAGGAGGGAACTAGCTTGAGAGAGGAGTGGTCCGGTCTGGGCTGAGAGGGCTTTCCTGGGACTGAGATCCAAAAGGTGAGACGTGGAGGGAGATGAGTTTATGGAGATCCAGGGAGCCTAGGTGGGCAGCTGGAGGTGGTTCTGGCCAGGGAGAAGCTGAGAGACAAGCAGGTAGGAGTTCCAGATGATAGGAGTTCCAGAGTTCAGCCAGTCGGAGATGAAGGTGGAGGTTTTATCTGGTGAACGAGAGCAGGAAGGGTAAATGCAAAATCCAAAATCCTAAACACATCTAAAATCTCAAAAGGTCCAAAGAGCTCCAATATAATACGAAGAGGTGGCTTAGAAGGTACCCAGGTAGAGTAATCATCCAGCGAAGTGCAGAAGTCTCTCAGCTGCTTAAATACACCTGCACGGCTGATGAGCAGATCTGCTGCAGCTTGGTCAACCTCCAGACACGCCCACCTGCAGAGGGAAAACTCAGAGACAGGTTGTGACAGCAGGAACACACCTCAGACCGTGACACCATATTTGTTTATTCATTTAGACAAGTGCCAGAATTGTTTTGGTTTTACCTCAATAACTGTATATCATAAAAAATAATAATTATGTTTTTAAATCAATAAAAAATTATAACAAGTATTGCTAAAAAAATTTTTTTTATCCGGTTGGTAATGATTGGTTTGATAATCGATGTGTCATATACAATAACCCACAGCATGTCACATTATAGGTTTTGTTTAACAACAAACAACATAAGATGACAGGAATCTTACAATTTTTCAGTAACTGACATGCATACAGTTTCCTCTAATGATATGTGGCAACCTGCTGATTTAAAACAGTCTCTTTTGTATCTCTCTACCCAGGGAATGTACAGTTGCTGCCAATTTGAGGATGAGACAGCACCAGGAGGGAGCAAAAGCTCTTTGCCCCAGTACCACACTGTGACTACGATGCCCACTATACCACAACAACACCTTGTTACTGCCACAGTGAACAACACAACCGCCATCGCCATGGTACAGCAGCAACCGCCAAAGCATCACCAACAGCAACAAGGGCAAACCTATACCACTATGCTACCTGGATCACCACCAGCAACAGGACATTCAGCGATGGCATTGGGTCCCTCAAATAGTCCGTTATTGGAAGGCCCAATGCCTTGCTCAACTTTCTTGCCACGTCATGACCGTAGACTGGCTGTGGTTGACCGATGGAACAGGCCAAAGCCAGAAAAGATCATAAGTGGTGGCAGCAGTGGGGGAGTAGGTGTTGGAGGCATTGCTGGAGGAATAACTGATCTACAATCCCAACAACAGTATCAACAGAGCCGTGGAACACACTGGAGTTTTCAAGGAGGACTTACAAGTGGAACTGGAGGAGGTGACACAGGGCTAGATGAATATAAGCGCTACTACGGTCCTATAGATCCAGAGGGGCTAGGGTCTAACTTGGACCAGCAGGGAGGAGGGCTTCAACAGACTCCCAAAACCAATTCCAGAGGCTTTAAAGCCCCAGGAATGCCAAGGCTGCCTCCAAAAGGCCCTCAACAAGGACAAGGGCACTTAATCCCCAAGCCTCCTCCACCAATGCCATCCTCTCCACGGAGGCCTCCCTTCTGGAGACGAGGCAGCCTAGCTCAGGCAAGGAGGAAAAGCTCAGGAGGTCCTTTGTATGAGAATATACTCCCTCTAGGGAGGCGAGGTGGTGGGAGGTATGGAGCAAGTGACGGAGCTGGAAGGAGGGGACGTCGCCCACCTCCACCTCTTCCAGTCCCTCTTTCTTCCCCAACACACACGCCTACGACCCCCTCTTCCCCATGCCGTTTCTACTCTTCCTGTTCTAGTGCCTCGTCTTCTTCCTCTTCCTCCTCCTCATCTTCATCTTCTTCATCCTCTGGGTCAATTTCTCGATCAAACTCTCCATCATCGTGCTCCAGTGACAGTTCTTATAACTCCTCGCTGAGTTTCCGTTATCGTGCAGGCGATCGGGAATTTATGGTAGATGAGTATGACTCAGATCTTCTCACTGAAGAGTCCAGCCTCCTTTTAGGATCACGGAGAAAGATCCGCTCACGACGCATGTCATCTCGCTCATTGCCATGCAGCCCACCACCTCCTCCAGTCCCACCACGAAAGCCACACCCACAAAAATATTTTGGTAGGGAGAGAACGGGCAGTCAGCTAGCTCAGTTACAGGAGTGGTGGGCATCCTGGGGTGACAGGGAGAGAAAGAGGGGAGGTACAGCAAGCAAAGCAGATGGACCTTTGGGTAGAGATGAGAAGAGACGCCACAAAGAGAGAGAGCGTGAGAGAAAAAGGAGGAAGAAGGGACGAAAAAAGAAAAAGAGGGAGGAGAGGGAAAGAGAACGGGAAAGAAAACGACGCAAAGCTAAGAAAAAAAGGAAGAAAGATGATAAGGTGAGAAAGAGAGAGCAAAAGAGATCAGAGGTGGATGAGGGAGAACCTGAAAAAAGAGAGGAAGTTAAATCTGAAACACCAGACTTCCCAGCATATCCACCCTTGAGGAGAGAATCGTTTCGTAAGAAGAGTGAAAGCTCTATCAGAAGTTATGGGTGGAACATTCCAGGTGAAGATGAACGTAAAGAAAGAGAAGAAATGAAGAGGGATGATGGAGAAGAGAGTAGAGGGAAAGATAGGCACCACAGAAGAAGAAACAGCAAACACCATCCTGGCTCTAGTAGTAAGCCTTCTACATCTGTCAAGTTCTGGGGTGGGGGAAATCCATCTTCTGACAACATTCCATCTGCCTTTCTGCCCTTGTTACCAGTCTCTTCTAAAAGGAGGAAAAGTAAAAGTTCAGACAGAGATACTGCGTGCATGGAAGGGGAGAAGAGGCCATTGTTGGGACGAAACGAAAGAGGTGAGCTGCAGTCTAAGGAAGGTCTCTCCTTCCATGAATGGGAGTCTGAGGTAGAGGATGGGGAAGAAGACTCTGAACCAGAGAGGAAGAAAGCAGATCATGGGAAAAGACGTGGAGGAGGGAGGACTATGTCTGACGAGGAGCAGGATCATGATAAGGTAGTTGGGATATATTCTGATGATGATGGTTCTTCAGGAGAATTTGGGAAGTTTGAGAGGTACTGGGAAGATCATGAAGGTAGGGCAGTAGGGGGAATTGGAGGAGGAGGCTGGTTTTTCAGTACTTATCCCTCCAGGGACAAAGCAGGCAGCATTAATAGTAGAGATGATCTCTTCCTAGAACGAGGAGAACGATGGGGAACAGCAGAAGGGGAGTGGGGGTCTAGTGCAGGTGGTGTTGGAAGAGACAGAGGTTGGGGATCAGGTTCACACTGGCCCCCGCCTCCTCTCACTGCGCCTCCTCCTAGACGATATTGGTCAGTGGACAAGCTTCATATACAGGATGAGAAGAAAAGTAAGCGCAAGTCAAAAGACAAATCAAGGGGGCACATGGCTTGCTCTTCTTGTCAATCGCCTCAGCACCATACTCACTCCTACAAATGGGCCCGTGCAACTTCACGAAGCCAGGAAGAGCTGTTTCACCACTGCCAGAATTTGGGTGGTCCTTTAAAGCCAAAACACGACTCTTCATCATCATCCAAACCTGATCGTTCACACAATCCATCTAAATCTGGCAGCCAGTCGAACCTCAGTATTCAGCAGCGAACACAGAGAACAGAAAGGGAAAGAGATCGAGGAAGACAACCATCCCCACCTTCATCTCTTATTCAAAACGTACCACCTCCACTTCCTGCCCTTCCAGCACCTCCATGCTCATCTCACTCTATTCATGTTCCTCCCCCTACTTCCTCCTCTTCTGTATCATCTCCCTCGGTGGTGTCTGCACCGGGGGCACCCCAGACCTCCGCAATGGCTTCGGCAAGTGCCAAACTGCAGTACCAGAGACTGCGTTCTGTACCCCAGCCCCAGAGGTTTCCACAGTCTCCACACCTACCCCTCAAAGCCAAGAGCCTTTGCTCACGAAGGGGCTCAGCTCATTTCTCCAGTGTGGAGAGTGAAGTCTAAAGTCGAGCAATGTTTCAGAATTAATAAGAAAGCCCTGCAAGGCTGATATGAGAGAAAGGACCTGCAATCATGGCTGCACAGCAACAAACAGGGCTGCATAGCCAAGTCAGTACAGCTCTGAGCCCTTTTCCTAAAGTTCTGCACAAACAAACCAGAAAGCCAAACAAACCCAAGGGAGTACATCAAGGGAACACAGGACCACTCTTGTTTTTAGTCTTATTTTGTTTTTATTTGCTCCGTACGACGGACAAGAACCACGAAACTGACTCTGAACCTTGTTTAGCAGCAGAGGCAAATCAGACATCGCTAAAAGAGGCCTGAACATTTTGAAAGCTGAAGAACAGAGTCGGTGTATTGAGAGATAGTTTGACGCTTACTGAGGGCTCAGGAACTTTTTAGTACTACACGCCCACTGCTCTCAGAAGCCTTTAACACAGATCACTTTTTTCCCTTTTAAACAAATTGCTTACCCCGACTTTCCTTTCCCCTAACAAACTGTTTACACCCCGCAGAACTGTGATACCCAACTGAGGCATTTTTGTTTTATAGTCAATGTCTTCTTAGTTACCGAGGGTGATAACCACCTACTTTTCTGGTATCCGTTGATTTGTTTAGCTTCTATTCCCCCCCCCCCCCCCCCTTCACCATTCTTACCCCTTTCCACTGTACTCCATTCTTTTAGTTTTGCTTCGTACTTTTCTTCTTTGTCTACTTGTTATTTAAAAAATATTTATTTATTTTTAATATCTCGCCACCTCAGTTATGTTTTCCCTCTTGGCTCCTCTCCTCGATGTGATTATTATGTGTGTCTGTGCTTTTCTGTGTTTGTATTCTTGACAACAGGGTAAGTCAGCTTTGACTGATATTCTTCTGGCTTAATGAAAAGCTGAGTGCCAAACTTAAGTAGAGCTCAACATCAATCTATATAATGTTAGCAGCTGTGTTCCATTTTATCTTGCAGAGTATTACATCATCTCCAATATACACATGCTAATGCATACCGCTCATATACACACACACACCTGCACATAAACAGGTCAAATTATCTACTTCTTTAGCAATACATTACACAACCTTACTTCGTGTTTAAAGCTTTATATTTAAAAACCATGACTTTACTTCTATGTCATAGTTGTTGCTACTGATGGTGTATTATATGTCAAGACAAGTATTAAATCAAATACAATGTAATCACTGTGCCATACTCAAGCTTGGGTACACATAAAATGTTCTCTCAACTACCTAACCACAAAAACGGAGGCAGTTTCTGTTCCTTGCCTATTTCCAACTGAATGTAAAGTCAGCCGCCAACACGTGTGCTGCAACGACAATTACTGTAAGACACTTGTAGCATTTTGAAGGAATCAATTTGCATGGGTAATACATGTGGACAAAATGCAGTTATTGTTAAGAGGACTATAGAGAAAGTAAAGATGGGAATTGTTCGTCTTGAGCGTGCTAAGGAATTAGAGCTGCAGTGGATTTAAATTTATTTAGCCTGTTTATTTAGTCTCCCACAAGAGGTGCAGTTGGTGCCAAGGCTAGACATAAAAAGTAATAAACTGAAGCATTTAAAACACATTTTCAACCCAGGTTTGCTACTTATTAAGCAAGAGTGTAATCTGTAAGGTGGTTCTCAACCAACTGTTAGACAATGCTATTTGCCCCTGTCATGTCTGACTATGAGCTGTTTAATCAGAGAAGGACGTGATTGGTCCAAAAATACATTTAGTGCCAGAGCCGTTTTGATGTCACTGGGCTATGCTTGGGATAGATGTGTGATCAGAGAAACTGTTACATCTCACTGGGAAGAAAATCTTGTGATATTTTGTTCCGAATCTTCTAAATGTGAAACCATGAGATGTAGTTTGTGATCCAGGACCTGACTGACACCTGCAGATTCTCTACAATGTGACTGAAACATTCATGGACAATAGTTTTGTTTTTAAATCAATTTTTATTTGAATCAGAGTGAATTAAATCAACCTTTGATTTATTTTTCTACAAAATAAAAATAAAAATACAGAGTGCAAGAGAGGGGACAGAAATGTTTTATTTGCTAAAGGTTTCTGAGCCATTTGTCCCAAGTCTGGTCAACTCACATTGATTGCCTGGAACTGCATCTGAGCCATACGTTACTTTGACTGAAGAGAACAAAAGAGATTAAGTTTTTAAAATAAATTTGTCATATAGAGTTAGTCTTATTTTCATTGAGAAAAAAATCTATATATTTAATAAATAAATATATGTATAATTGTGGCACTTGCTACTATAAGACGACATTCTTAATACTTGAGATTGGTTTTCTGTCTAGATCTGTTAAAACAATATTTATTTTGAGAAAAATAAATATATAATTCACCATTATAACTTAAGATGTTATAAAACATAAATGTGTCCCTTAAATAAGGTTAAAACTGTTTTGTTAGCGCTTTAAAATTAACAATCGTTTACACAAATTTCATTGAAATGAAATAAAGCAGTGAGTGTGACATGCTTCCATGCATTCACATAGCAAACAGCTTAAAGCTGCAATAGCAAATCTGCAAAACAGGCTAGCTTAAAAAACAAACATGGTCACAGAACTTTCACCCCTCCTGTCGGCTATCACCAGTGTTCGTTTTCTAGGTCCAAACACATTTTTTTTCCCATCCATCCATTTTCGGCCGCTTATCTGAGGTAGCGAGGGCAGTAGCCTAAGCAGGGAGGCCCAGACATCCCTCTCGCCAGCCACCTGGCCCAGCTCCTCTGTGGGCATCCTAAGGCCAATAAATCAAGAGCTTTGCCTTCTGGCTCAGCTCTCTCTTCCCCACAACAGATCAGTACAACTCCCACATCACTGCAGACGCAGCACCAGTCCGCCTGTCGACTTCACACTCCAGAGACAACCAAATAGTCCAATCGTTGGTTTCGGACCGAGCCGTGTTGTTTACTGAGATTTGTAGACAAATGTGAGAGAACCACTTCATTAATTGTATTTGTTTTTTTTTTTATCTCCACAGTAGATGTGCAGCTAAACTATGTTACAACATTGTTAAGATTCATGAATAAAAATGCTTTAGGCTAGCTTATTTAACAGATTTGCCATTGTAGCTTTAATTTTATCCTAATACATAAAAACCATTACAAGTTCTAACTTTAAGCGGTAAAGATGTGTGATCGTACACAAGCTCAGTTGCACAGCAGCTTGCGGTGGTGTGGACACAATGCTTCAATGTTTCTTTAGAAAAAAATAAGCCAATCAATCTATCCCCTTTTCCTCTTTTGCCTATTTTTTTCCTCACGTCTTTTCATTGTGCTGGTGTGTGTCTGCAAATGTAAAGCTGGTCTGTTCTTAAAAAAACAAAAAGAGTATCTGTGGTTATATTTATTTCATCTAAAAAGGAGCATATCTCTCTATATGTATATAATAGTATATTTCAAGACTTTAATATCTGTTATATAAGTTTGTCAACTAAATTTATGGTATTATCTCAATGAAAATGTCTTTTCTGTCCGTGTCTTTCCTTGTCTCAATCCAGCTGCCCAGCTCCCCCACCCAAGTGAAAACAGAGACCAGTATGGAAACTGTGTTTTTGCTCACTTAAGACAACCATCCGCCTCCATTAGCTAACTAGCGTAGCTAATGCTAGAATTCTACATGGTGACAATGTGAAGGGGAGCACGAGTGTCTTATGACCATGTCACTGTAGCAGTGGTGGTGAGTGTTTGTTTACCCAGAGGGGCCTTTATTTTTGGTTTGGGCTACAGATTATTAAAAAGTCTTTTGTGGATACAGCAGCCGTTACCACAACTCTCTCATGTGTACTCGGGTCTTATTCTGGACCTTGTTTTGGTTTGATTGGAGCTGTGAGTTTTTAATCCTAGTGGACAGCGAGGTGACCTCCTGGGAACACAATGTAGCGAGCAGCACAGGCTTTTTTTTTTTTTTTTTTTTGCATCTTTGAGTAGCTGAATATTGATAAAAACCATGCACAGCTACCCCTGCCAACCAACCTGTACGATATGTTCAAGGACTTTTTATGTATCTGCCAAGCTGCTGTGCTGTAAAACAATAAAAGAAAAAGAAAAAAGTAACTGAACCACATGATTTCTTTCTTAACTTTACAAAGCTGGAAAAATTATTACAAATAATTCTGGAGGAGAGCTAAATCTGCTGTTTATGCAGTTATGACCAAGGCCAAAAATGGATTCTCCAGGGCTTTTTTTCCCCCCATTTATGTCTCCTCTTTGTTTTGTTTTTGTTTTTTGTCATTAAAACATAGTTTGCAGCTTTTCATATCCTTTTGAATGCTCAGTCAGTCCCACCGAGCGATCAGCATCAGTCCCACTTTCATATAAACAATTATTTTATCCATCAAGCATGTGAAGGTTACCAGTAATCTGCATTTCTACATTAATGAGGATCAAAATTAATTCATTTACGGCTGTATTTTATTGGTCAAAACAGTAATACCTGATTTACTGGAGCCATGGTTACCATTTTAATTACTACCCATGATTTTCTTTTTGGTGTTTTTGTTAAGATAAATCTACCAATTCATTTCTTTCTGTCCGTTATCCACTTAGTATATGGTTGCATGCTGTATTGTGTGCAAGTTTCCCTATTTTGTCATCTGTAGTGCAATTTGAACATTTAAATAACAAGATTAACAAAAAATATCATAAATAAGGACATTGGACCATGATAAAAGAGCCATTGTTCAGCCTAAAGTGGCCTCCGTAAAATCACTTTATCAAAGGTAAACACACTTCCCACACTTGATTTCATGATATTTGAAGTATTTTTTTTTCTTTTGTTGATTCTTAACCCTGGTGAGCCTGGTTTTAGTCTGCAATGGAAGCACATTCACAGACTTTGCTCGTACACCTCTGACCATTGTCTCAAAGCCTTGTAATACAACTGCTGTATCAACGGACTGCATGGGACAAAACGAGTGGCTGTTCCACAATTTATTGTCAGCACCTCACACACACACACACACACACACATGCAGACCAACAAAGAAAATAGTTCCACACAGGGCTGGCACTCTCCTTTTACAGGTGTGGCCACATGCTGCCAGCCCTCTGCTTTAGTCACGTCGATGGAGCAGTGGGGACACTGACAATAACGTGTTGTACTGCGACCAGGACAAAAATAAAAAGATGATTTTATTAAAGAGATGAAAAGTGTTGGTGTTTTCTTCTGCCGATTGGGATGACGGGATGAAAATTTTAATGTATTGCCATTTTTGATATTCAAGGATTACATTTACATAGGGTTATTTAGGGGGAACATATGTGTTCTACTGTCTTCTGATGCAACTTAAAAGCTATCACTGGTCACCAAGGTTTTCCTGGATGTTTCATTTTGAATTGAGAAAAATCTATAAATGGCCTGTATTTGTATAGCACCTTTTAGGATCCACATCCCCTCAAGGAGCTTCAAAATATAATCAGTCATCCTCCCATGCACACATGCATTCACATGCTGGTGGAGATGAGCTACGATGTAGCCACAGCTGCCCTTGGGCGCAATGACAGAGTCAAGGCCTGCCGAACACGGGTATCACCGGTGCCTCTGACCACCAGGAGGCAAGGCAGGTTAACTGTCTTGCCCAAGGACACAACAGCAGCAGATGAGGAGGAATTTATTTTCTGGAAATCAGTTTCACTATGAGTTTTTCTATTTCAGAAAACTCACTTTTTATGATTCCACTGGTGAATTTCCCTGATATTAACCTTAAGTGTCCTCATCATAAATCTGTTGGTTTTCCAAAATAACATTGTTAAAGAAAATAGGTATATTATCTGGGAGTATTATGGCCCATTCCCATCTGTACCTGGTCGGCCCTGCCCGGATAGCTCCAGTCGGTCCCAGTCTGGCCCGGTTGATTCCACACATCCTTACTTAGGTATACAAGGAATGCAGTCAGAGACATTTTCAGCTTCTAGGTAATCAGCATGATAATGAATAATAATGAATTGAGCATGCCTTAAGCCCATGTGGGCTAATTCTACCCACCAATCAGATGCTTGCTCTAATGGAAGGTGTGAATTTGCTGACTGATAAGGACTGACAGGAAACGGGACCACATCAGTCCGGTTCTGGCCTCTGTGCACTGGCTTCTGGTTCGCTATCACTCACAATTCAAAATCCTCGTCTTTGTTTATCATTTCTTCCAGGGTGGTGCTCCCCCCTATCTGGCCACTCTCCTGAACAGACATTCCCCATCACGTGCTCTGCGCTCCTCTGACCAAGGCCTGCTCGCTGTCCCTCGTTCTAGGTGTCGTACTTGCGGGGACCGGGCTTTCTCAGTCCTAGCACCATCACTATGGAACCAGTTGCCACCCTCAGTTAGGCTGTCCTGATCTCTGCCAGTCTTTAAGAGTCACCTAAAAACCCACCTCCTCCACGTGGCGTTTCCTGAACATGTTTGATTTTGGCCCTCTTTTATGTTGAATTTATTTCACAGTTTTCATTGGTTCACTCTATCCATTGTTTTACACATTTGTCCTGTACCAGAATGTTTCACCTTTTTTGTAATTTGTATTTTGTAATTTGTATTTTGTAATTTGAATTGCTTTTATTTTTGATTTATTCAATATATTTACCTTCAACTGTACCATGTTCAGCGTCTTGGGCTTCCTGACAGGGTTGCGGAAGGCGCTTTATAAATAAAGCTTTGATTGATTGATTGATTGATTGATTGATTGATTGATTGATTGATTGATTGATTGATAAGCCAGCTTATCAGTCAGCAGTGGGTGTGTTGGCCCTGGTCAGCCTGAAGCAGACCACCTCAGAAAGAGGGCTGAAAAACAGTCTCGTTGCACCCTGAAAAAAGGCAGGCCACCAAGGTATGTAAGCAAGCTATGCTATCCGGGCCGAGCTGACCAGGTACAGATGGGAATTGCCCATTAGTCTGGCAAGCCAGCCTTTATATGTGAATATAAAGACCCACAGACAGCGCTCAGTCATGGAGTAGAATCTATGGGGTCTTTCAAACTGTCTCCACATGCTGATAGACAATGAACAACATGATGTACTCACTGTTACAGATGTCAGTCAACGGGGCCGTCCACCATACACTGTCGAAGAAGACAAAAATACATCTGTTTTTTAAAATAAAGGACTTAAGTACTTCTATCAGCTTTTGATTGAAGGAAAAGCCCAAGTCTAAATAGTCCAGAGTCAATGCCAAAGCCGTTTTGAATGAGCCGCCACCATCTAAGTAGTTTTACTCAGTAGCAACATCCCGACCACCAAACTGATAAAGTCCTGTGATTGGCCCACCAAACCAATAGAGCACTGTGATTGGCAAGACTAAAAACTGATCGGGCCTGCTGATGTTCTATTGTGCCGCTTACACATTAGCGTCAGTCCCGGAATTTGGTTTCACACACAGGTCGATTTGCGTTTTCGGTTCCGAGGCGACTCTTTTTTTAGACCTCCGCCCCAGTGGTTACACTGGGACTGACGTGACACTACAGACTGAAATTACGCCTACCGCCTCTGATCTATGAGTAGAAAATGAGCTAGTGGGGGGCTTCCGGCATGCACGATTCATTTTCATGCTGGATGAGTAAACTCTGCCTGTAGCACGGAGCTGCCGATCAGTGGGAACAGAAGAGTGAGCTCTGTGTGTGTGTGTGTGTGTGTGTGTGTGTGTGTGTGTGTGTGTGTGTGTGTGTGTGTGTGTGTGTGTGTGTGTGTGTGTGTGTGTGTGTGTGTGTGTGTGTGAAAAGATCACGAGGGCACACACAGCAAATTAATCACCTTAGTTTACCTTATTATGGAGGACACCGCAGATTTTCCCGTGTTTAGTAAACGCCGCCCACAGGCTCGGGATTTCCGCATTCCTGAGAAGTCACTGTGATTTATATGTGAACGCTACACCGTCCGTTCTAGACCAAACTCACGCCATCCAGCCCCACCAAACCCCGACCGTGCCGACACTAATGTGTAAGCGCCATTGGAATGTGGCTAGACCAACCTACAAACCACTCTCTCTGTCTAGATTTCCAGTTTCTAGTCTATGGGAGTATTTTATTTCTGTTTTTCTATTAATTATTTTATGTGATTCAATGTGTTTATGACCAGAATGTAAAAGTTGCTGTTTTGATACAGAAACACCTCTGTTTAAAATCCCCTTTGGCCCTTTAACCCTTTAGCATTCCAACGTCCAGCTCATGGGACAACACACATCATGTTCATGTGACCAAGAATGTTAGTTAATATAACATGAGTGTCTTTGATAGTGAGACCAAAATACTACATCAGTATTCAAAGTTTTTATTAAAAGGGACATTTTGTAAAATCACATTTATCTTCTTGTTGAATATCGGCAGCTTGAGGTGTCCAATGTAAGAAGAAGAAGAAGAAGACGAAAAGATATTTTCTATAGCGCATCTCAAGAGAAGAATCACGAGGCGCATCAAAAAAACAAAAAATGTAAAAATATAAAAAATCATTTAGAAAATGGTTAAAAATATATTTTAAATGAGCAAAAAATAGACAATTGTGATTAAAAATGTAAAGAAAGAGAGAGAGAGAGAGAGAGAGAGAGAGAGAGAGAGAGAGAGAGAGAGACAGAGACAGAGAGAGAGAGAGAGAGAGAGAGAGAGAGAGAGAGAGTGTGTGTGTTTGTGTGTGTGTGTGCATAGGAGAGAAGGAAAGAGGGAAATCAGTGGATCCTGAGGAAGGTGGAATAGGTGGGGAGAGCAGAATAAAGAGAGAGAGGTGAAGAAGGTCATACAAAAGCCAGCTTGAACAAGTGAGTCTTCAGCTGCTTTTTAAAGGAGATCACTGAGTCCACTGATCTCAGGCTCAGGGGGAGAGAGTTCCAGAGTCTGGGGGCCACAGCAGCAAATGATCTGTCACCTTTGGTCTTTAGCCTGGTGCTGCACAACCAGTAGGCTTTGATCACTGGACCTCAGGGACCTGCTGGGGGTGTAGGGACTAAGAAGATCACCAATGTAAGATGGTGCTTGTCCATGTAAGGCCCTATAGACCAGAACCAGGATCTTGAAATGAACCCTGAAGTTGACTGGCAGCCAGTGAAGCTGGAGGAGAAGCGGGGTGATGTGGGTGTGTTTGGAGGACTTGGTCAGAAGCCGAGCACAGGCGTTCTGAACCACCTGTAGACGGTTCAGGGAGGTTCTGCTCAGACACGTGAAAAGAGAGTTACAGTAGTCTAAGCGTGAGGAGATGAAGGTGTGGAGAACTGTCTCAAGTTCAGAGTGGGACAGAATGGGACTCAGCTTAGCAATGTTCCTGAGATGGAAGAAGGAAGAGCGAACAAGAGAACTGACATGAGAATCCAGGGTGAGAGCTGGGTCACAGGTCACGCCAAGATTCCTGACAGAAGGTTTGGTGTGAGAAGCAAGCTGACCAAGAGAGTCTCTGACTTTGGGAACCAGCTTGTCTGGGGCACAGATGAGGATCCCAGTCTTATCTTCATTCAGCTGAAGAAAACTCCCACCATCCAGGTTTTGATAGAGTCTAAGCAGGTGTGTAACAGCTGCAGCTTAGACATCTCATGGGGCTTAAAGGAGATCTACAGTTGGATGTCATCTACATAAAGATGGTAGGAGATTCCTTTGAAGGAGCTCAGAATGTGCTGAAGAGGAAGCAGATAGAGGAGGAAGAGCAGAGGCCCCAGCACAGAACCTCGTGGGACACCATGGGTAAGGGAGGTGTGGAGGACCTAAACTTGGAGATGGCCACAGAAAAGAAGCACTCAGAGAGATAAGAGGAGAACCATTCCAGAGCAGTTCCTGATAGGCCTACCCAGTCTCTCAGCCTCTCCAGTAGCAGGTGATGCTCAACAGTGTCAAAGGCTGCAGTCAGGTCCAGCAGGACCAGAACAGAACAGTCCCCTGCATCACTGTGAGTCAGAAGGTCATTAGAGACCCTAAGAAGAGATGTTTCAGTAGAATGAGCTCTACTAAAACCTGACTGGAAGCTATCATAGATGTTATGTTCATCAAGAGCAGCTGTGAGTTGTTTAGCCACAACCTTTTCCAAGATCTTGGAGATGAACGGAAGTTTAGAGATGGGTCTGAAGCTGCTGTGGAGAGAGGGGCCGAGACTCGGTTTTTTAAGAAGCGGGTGGATTACAGTGTTCTTAAAGTAAGCAGGGACCTGACCAGAAACCAGAGAAGCATTAATCATAGAGAGCACGCTGGGACCGATGGACTGAAAAGCACTTTTAAACAAAGACGAGGAAGATGAATGTAGCACGGTCCATGTCATCTCCAATCAGGTTTCCTGTAAATGGTATAAAAATGTAAATTAGTGAGGCTATAATGGCCGCTGAGAAAAGCTTGAACGCCTTCCATTTGCACATCCCGACCCACTAAAACATCAGCAATATGTAGACATTGGTCGTGATAATGCTAACAGCAAAACAACCCTACTGATAACACTAGCTGAGCTACTGCTAATGCTACCCCGAGCTAATACATCCTTGTTGAACAAGAGGAAAAACAACAAGGAAGAATGTTGGAGCACCACTCAGGTTCCAGGGTGTTCTTAAAATTATCCAGACTGTGAACTAATGCCAGAGAGATCCACATCTTTTGGTCCAGTCCAACAGAGTATGGCTGCACACGTCCTTGTCTGTGCCACACACACACACACACCCTGTTCCTTTGAGTAGACCAATCCCTACATTGTATGTTGTGGTTTATTAAGAGCCCCAACAATGTTTATGAGCTATATAGATGCTCAAAGAGCAGTTTTTAATTGTAAAAAATTAACTGTTCTACTGCCCCTTTAAAAAAATGTACTAAGAGTTAAAAATGGAATTTGTTGTTAGAAACATTTTATTGTGCTTCATTTTTCAGATTCATTGAAATTTGAGAATAAGAGCTGAACAAATGTTCAAATCAGAAAGATAAAAGGGAAATTCAAATGAGTGAATTTGAATTCACTCATTCAAATTCAATAATTTTCAATTCATTCAACACAAGGTGTTGAGAAGATATAAAGAAAAAAATGAAATAGTCGGTTCTAGACAATAACAGTAATGGATAATAAACCCTCAAATAACACCATGAAAGGACAGTAAGTATATGGAACGGTGAAATATGATGCATCGTGCAGTCTGCAGAGCAAGATAGAGCCGGTTGTCATTTCTGCTAACAACTGGCCACCTCTTAGTGTCTATGAAGCACGCCAGAGGTACAGATAAAACACACACACGCACGCGCGCACACACACACACACACACACACTTTACAATGGATTTTAGAAAAAAAAGGAAGGGAGCTCCTCTGAAACAGCAGAAATTACCTGTAATCCTCCCTCTGTACGATGTTTCAAAATTCTATTATTTGAAACAAGGTTCACAAGTTCAGATGCACTTCCTGTAAAAGAGCATTTACTTCAAAACAACAACATGAAAGGCAACATGCTTTCTACCGGCTGTTGTGTGTTTGTGCTCGTTAGAAAATGTCTCTCCCGGGTGCAGAATCACGTGTGTAGAAGCATTAATGCTTTCCACCATGAAAGGCATTAAATGTCAGGGTTTCAGTTCATTAGGATATTGCTTTCCATCCAAAGCATCCAGTGTTGCTTTAATTAGATTGCTTGAGTCAGTGATATGCTGATGAATGAATGTGGTGTGACAGAAGTTGTACTGTAAATGCTAGCATGTGACCTTAGCAGAGTGACGGCTAATTAAACAGATATGAACTCTAGATTTTGAAGGAGAAATGACAAGGTAGAGGCGGACCTTTCGAACGTCTGGTTTTCATTGTGTTTGTTTCACTTTGATTTCTATAGATGTAAGTGTTTGAAGTCGGCCATGTGCTGGTGCTGTCTGTAGTTGGATTGACCTGCATCATCTTCATACTAACCCCGGC